GCTTCAAGGTTCCTTCCAACCCAAACCATTCCGTGATCTCCCACTGACTTAAGCAATCGGTGGGAGGTGAGTAACAGCGCGGAAAAGGGTGACGGTGCTCTCACCCCGCCTGCCCGGCATCTGCTGTTCACATCGAATCCAGACCATGTAGCTTGGTAAGCAGGGAAGAGTTTATGCAGAAGCGTCGTGGGCTTGTTCAGATGAGATTTTCATGAGGCTGTTACGTTCCAGAATGGGTCTTTTAAAGTTGTGTCATTGAAATGTTTAGACTTTAAACAAGCACGTGGGCCTTGTATCTGGGCTAGAGATAGCAGTAGGCCAAAGACTGTGATGCTCGTTAAGATCCTGCTCACATAGGAACTTGCCGGTGAGGATGCAAATTAGTAAGAAACAGAGATGTCATAAATGCAAAGTAACGTAGATAAGGGGTTGTACATTGAGTAATTACGACACGACACACAACTGAGTTTCTTTAGGCTATTGTACTGAATGTGTTGTCCCATGAGAAGGTGTTTCTCTGGTATCTGAGGGTTTAAAAAAAAAACAAAACCACAATAACTTGAGACTCGGTGACCTTAACTACGGCAGCATTCCTAAGGAAAGATGCTCTCCAGCCTCAAAACTTTAGGGGGGTGTGTGTTCAGTTGCCACTTAGAGAAGCAAGAACTTTCACTCCTGATAAATAGGTGTGTGCTGAGAGAGTAACTGGTTTTGTATGGAGCCATCTTTTAAATGTTACCTTGTATTTTAGAATGGCAAAACTGAAGCAGGAGATAGCACTTTTTTTTTTTTTTCTTTTCCCCTTCATGTATTAATATATGTTCAGTATAATTAGGAACCAGATAAGGAATTTTTCAGTAGGGGAAGTTCATAACTTCCTGGTACTAGTTAGCTTTTGTAGGTGGTGGTGGTGTGTTGTGTTTTGTTTTTTTTTCCTTTTAGTTGCTGTTCTGTAATGTAAGGCCATAGTAAAGAGGAAGTTTGCAAGCAGTTTTGTCTGTCTTTTAGAATCTGTACATTTTGTGAAGTCCTAGGTAGATTTCTGCTTCCTAAAGTTGTGTTTAGACTTTTTGGTTATTTTAGATTGAGCCAGAATGTCTTGTAAGCAATTGTCCACCATTGTCTCTTTCCCCTGAGCTGTTGCAGGAGGTTATAAGTGTATAGATTGTCTGTTCTTGCTTTTCAGAAATGGCTATTGCTGTGGAGGATGTAGGGTCACCAGTGACCTGTACAGAGCAGTGACATCAAAGTCAAAGGGCAATACTCCTCCCGTCTGTGTCTCACTCTAGTCACCTGGGATCGTTTGGTTTCGTGTGATACTTTCACATCTTCCACAAAGACCCACAGCTACTTTGCTTTCACACACAGATGTTGCTGGAGCCTGTTCATGGGCCACAGCTAGTTAAGCAAGAAAATTACAGATTCAGTAATATCTCCAGAGCCTGCTTCTTTTGAGCAAAGGAAAGAGACAAAACATATGAACCCTTGATGGAGATGCTTTGCTTGGTGGCAGCATGTCATGCTTCCTCTCTAATGGCACAGACCAGGAGTGTTAAACTTCAAACCAGCCCAGGTTTCTCATCATGGAGAGGCCTGACAAAAGTATTGTTTTGAGTTTTTGGGGTTGTCCTTTTGTTCCTTATCATATTGCTCAATACAGTTAAGAATAAACCAACCTACAATTCTAGAATGAGTATAAGCTGGCTGAACTCTTGGAGCTGTTACTGCTTTTACCTCTTTTCCTTGCAGATATAATTGGCACACTTGATCTCCTATATTCTCTTTTAAATTAGTGTGCTGGTCAGGGCACAGGGTGGAGGAATTAATGATTTTGTAACAAAAAGAACAAGAAGCAAGTTGTAATATGTAGCATAAAGTTTCTACTGCTGTGATGTATAAAAGCAATTATAATTAATTACAAATACAATTAAACTCTTAAGCACTTAAATGAAGGACTAACTAAAGTTTTGCTTTTCTTCCATTTCAAATGCTTTTCTGAATAGTTGTGGGCAGGTAGGTAATATGAGCAGCTATGAGTTTCTCTTCCAGAATCAGCAAGAGAATTTGTTTTTTTGACACAGCTTCTATTTGTTTGACAAACATAGCAAGACCTGAAGAGGGCAGGTCTTTAGTGTACAAACTGGCAGACCTCTCTGTGTGTGAGAGTAGATTGTGAAACAGTTAAGCCATGCCACCTCACAGGCACGTTGCAGGTTTACAGACATGGGGAGCACTGAACAGCCCTCTGCTTCGCTGCAGGGTGCTGGTAACACCTTTGGTTTGCACAAACACTTTTATCTGTTTTCTGTCCACACAAAACATTACACCGACCCTCATGGTAGAGACAATAAAGGGATTCTTAAATAGAGAGAGAGAGAAACAAGGTAAAATGTTGAATCTCTGGAGGCTACCACGTCACTGGGCTTTGCTTTCCCACAAACGCACCTGCTGTGAGCAGTGGGTTTGCCTTCAATGACATTTGTTTCGACCGCAGCCCCGTAAAGATCACTGAGCCCAGAGTTTTAAAATAAAGCACTCTCAATAGGTGAGAAAAAAAGTCCTCTTGAGCAAGTATTAATAGAGCATTCTTGGTTAAAGCAGAGGGAATTAAAGATTTGAAGTGATTGTGTTCTTTTCTCTAGTAGTTTTGGACAGCAAGGCTCTAGCTAGGTCTGACAAACACGTAATGTATGTGGGTGTACTGTGGGGCTGGGTAGCAGCTATGGAAGCACGTACGTACCCAGAGTAAGATGATTAGTAGGCACTTTACTGCAATTTTGTCATTATAACATCTAAAATAGATTTTTAATATAGTATATGGATATGTGTCTGTATTTGTGGCATACGTTGTTACTTGGGAATGGAAAGGCGAGATTCTTTTTTCTCCTTGATTGCATGATGGAAATGGGAGGCTGACTGATGTGCAGCAGTGGCTCCTCACTGCTGGCAGATGTCCTCTGTTGCCTGCTCTGCTGGACTGTCCTGATAAATTTCCTTATGCTCTTGTATTTAAGTGTGAAAGTTAAATAGCCATACACTGGTGTGTGAGCTTGGTTTTGTGAGAAGCTCAGACCACTGCTCTCTTTTTGAAATCAGCTTTATGTCATTTCTAGGCTTTTTGTTACCATCATTGTAAGCAGTTGAACCTAGAGTAGTGACTAATGTGAATTTAATACAATGGTCTATTTTCAGAAAATTATTTGGTCACAGATGATCAGTTTAGATGTTGTATTTTGATAAATTGTTAGACAGGAATACAGACAGTCCTAAACCATAGTTCTTGCAGGTTTGGCACCAAACACATCCTGAAGTTGAAATGCATTTGGCCTTTTAAAAATGCATTCAGATTTTGAAAACACACATTGTTGAGGGCTATTCCAGCATTCTCACACTGCTATGCTATATTTGTCTGTAGGTGTGTTGCAGTTCAAGTGTGCGTTCAAGTAAGACCAGGGTGACATCTTGGAGATGTAGTGCTTGCCATTGCTTCTCTGCTTCTCCTAATTACTTTATCTTTTAGGTTATAACATATTCCTACTTTGAGTAGGAACTGCTGTAGCACTGGAAATGTTTTGCAATCAATAAATCCCAGGCATAAAGTTCAAGCCTTGTGTTGGCAGGTATACTTAAGTCCACGTAGGTGCAACCAAAGAGAAGGTTTTATTATGGAGCTAAGACTGGAATCCACTTCTTTGCCAAAACTCGTATGCTATGGACCTGAGGCAGTATAGACCTTGGGCAAAAGGAAGAAGGGGATCTTTTACCCTTTTAGCACTTTCAATATATTTAATAACTATTTTCCTTATTGTGTTGAAGTCCAAGCACTTTTTTCAGTGTTGTGCCACGGGATATTGCCTGTCATGTTTGTTTGTGATGCTCAGCCTTGCTTGGGTAGGATGCTATTATATGAAGATGACAGAGAGCTCAGTAGACATTTCCATAAGCTATGTTCTTCTGATCATGCAGCACCACGATGATTCAACTTCTACAATATTTACTTACCCTCTGTTATTTGTTTTTCACATGCCATCCCACTGTTGTCACTGTTTGATTGACTATCCTACTTTATATTCTCAGCAAGATATATTAAATAGCCTGTTACTGTCTGACAATAGAACATCACTTGAAAAGTACTTATACTCTTGCTAAGTTTACATCTTTTTACTCCCACTCCCCCATTTAAGAGTTCTGTTGTCTCTTACTCTTGTCTATCACTTATTTTTCCTGAAAGACTTTTTTTAAAGCTGGCCAATAGCTTTTTCTGAGGTTTTGTTGTCTAGGGAGATAAGGCAACTGGAAGCTGGCCCTGTGGAAGTTGAGCAGCTCGAGATGTCGAATTCAATACCAGCAATGAGATATTTTCTGAGTCCACAGTATTCAACCCAGTAGGGTGTTTTTTGCATAATTTGCATAGTTTCTGCTTCACTATAATAGGAACTAAAGCAATTCTGAGGAAACATCTTTGGTTGTTCTCTCAAAGTACAAGTACTGTCAGTCCTATGGTCTCTTCAATGTCCTCTGAAAGCATTCCTTAATGTGGAATATGATTAAAAATATCAACCATTCCTTCACAATGATTATTTGTTTTCTCCTGTTTAAAATCCTGTTTCATCAGACACATCCTCTCTAGCTAAAAGAAGCTAAATTGTAGGTGAGATGGAGGGGAGGGCATCCTTTGCTGATTACTTAGAAGGCTTTGGTACCTGAGGCTTCATCTCGTCTCTTCCCTTGCTCCCCCCCCCCCCCCCCCCC